GGAAGGTGGGGGGAGGGGGGGGGCGGAGTCACATGATCAAACTCGGACCTCGCCGCTAAAACGCAAGGGCGACACGCAAAGCCTTTCCCATCCATTTTGAAACGACAAGTGCCGTGGGGGGTTATGCTGAATGCCGTGGTTATGACGTGGGTTTAGTCAAGGGGGTTGGGGGGGGGGGGCGTGTGTCAGTTAGTGGGGATATTGAAGCTTGTCATTTGAGTCCGAATAAAGCAACATCGTGGATTTAGCAAGAGGTGAAGGGAAGCTGAGTGAGTGCAGAGAGTCATGCCTGCAGAATTTTTATATTGATAAGGGGTGTAACGGTATGTCCAAAATCACAGTTCAGTACGTACCTTTGGTTTTTAACCCTTTCATATGCACCTGATCACATGATAAGCTGTCCACTGTAGTAACCGCTGTCCCCGAAAGGATTCAGGTCACGGTTCGATTTGCATTGGCTATGGCAAGAGAACCAAATGCAAAAATGGCCTTTGTTTTCGTACGAACAGGAGAAGATTTCTCCATCCAGCCATTTTCCGATCCGCCTTATCCTAACAAAGGGTCGCGGGGGGTCAACACCTCATAGACGCACGACAAAATTGTTCCAGAAAATTTGATACTCTCATAACTGCAATGCACGTTCTTCTTTTTCAGTTCCTGTTTTTGAAACGGGCTCGTTGTCCCAAGACTTGTGTCCTAACTTGGCTTTAAGGTCAATGTTGGGTTCACATAGGTTACTGATGCGCAAAGTCTGAATCGAGGCAACTGGAGTCTCCTTTTTTTTTTCTTTCCTTCAAGACAATTCACCTTCAATCCAAAAGGTTTCTGCAGTTCCGACTGTTATAAGTGTCGAGTCTTCCGATTTAAGTCCTTGGTGGGCGTTTCCCATGGCAGTGGTAACAACAGGTTTGTTCTTGCTGTCGTCGGCGTCGGGCGTGGCCAGAGAATGACCATCCCCCGCGCTCACCAACCGGTCATTCCCCTGCCCCGAGTCGGGTGTCGCGGCGCTTCTTCTCCCGGGCCATTTGAAAAATGCCCAGTTTACGATGACCCTCAGTTCCTGATGTGCGTCTTTTCCTTCTGTCTCCTATTTTCGTCTTTTTCTGCTGTGTTTGAAGAAGCCTTTTGGATGAAAGGTGAAACATCTTCAACAAACAAGAGTTCGGTTGTCTTGATTCGACCGTCGCACATTATCGCTCCTGCCACGGTGCGGATTTAGCCGCAGGTGAGTCACAAGTGCCAAAACTTGACCTGCTGTGAGAACTCGTCACGACTCTGTACCGGAAAAAAAAAAAAAAAATCTGAATTCGTGGACCATTGCACCCCTTAGCGTATAGCGTTAGTGTTTCATCATCTTCAACCCCTCAAGCAGGAAATTGGCAAGGATCCGATACTCACCTCCACGCTAATCAATGTGTCAGTGTCGTTTTAGAATGGATGACAAGGCTTAAGTGTTGACTTGGATTTAAACATCTCTTGTCGTTCCTCCTCCGGTACTCACTTTTTGTTGTTGTGGCCCACGTATCTCACTGCCGCAATGATGAAGGCAATGACCGCCACTCCGCCGATTGTGCCCACGATGACGGCCATCAGGTACTTCTCTGGAATGAACGCGAGGCAGAGTTGCGGTGAGGGTGGGATTTAACGATAAAAATAGTCGCCGCGGCGGGAATCGATGTTGTGACTGTATTTCAGTAGATTACTTAACGACACGCGACATGGACACCTAAAAACTGTCAGGTTATTCCATTCAAAAATTCTCCGTCGTAAACATATACGGTGAAACTCCTCTACAATGAAACCTACATGGGCGAAAATACCCCCTAGTGTGAAAAACATTTTCATGCATGAAAGCCATTCCCACTTTTCTGCCCCCCCCTACAACGAAAAGTCCCCCTGTTCCGTTATACGAAAAAAAATTCTCTGCTCTTGCCTCGCAAAGAGATTCACTGCAATGAAAACAAGCCTTCCGCAAAAGTCTAATCCAATCTCAGCATGCCACAGCGACCTCTACTGCTTCGTTCGGAAACGGCAACAGCAACCACCACACTGGTTTACACATGCGCAGTACTCCAGGAAGTATTTGTTATTGTTAGTTTCAGATGCAGCACAAACTTACATTGCTAAAATGGCTACGAAACGGACCTTTGCAGACCAAGAAGTGAAGAAAAGCATTCACGCTTGAAGACAGGTTAAAAATCATAAAAATGAAAGATGGAGGAAGCAAAGTAAAAGACATTATGCAAGAAATTGATGAAAGTGAATGCTGATCGTAAATTTTGCAATTTCTTTCCTGGTTTTTTTTTTTCTTTCTTCACTGGCTATATAAAGTGTCAAATAAGTGTATGCTCATATTTATGCACTACGTATTGGAATAAAAATAAAGAGTACACACATACGTTTTGTGTGTGTGTGCGTTTACATCTGAGATAAAATTTGCTACAGTGAAAAGCTCCCTTTTGTGAAAAATTTCTTGCTGCAAACAGGATTTTGTTGGAGAGGAGTTTCACTGTAGATGTTGCAGCTAGGCAAGATGTATTTTCTTCACGTTATCGTAGCCAATGTATGTTTCGTAAATACGCTCACAACGTTAGCAAAGCTACTGTCATACGTTTCCGTGGCATTGAGGCCTTTTAATAGAGTACAGCATGCGAGCACTTGTGCCACTCACTCTCCTGCTGCAGCTCCAGGATGACGCTTTCTCGGCCGTACACGTTGGAGATGCTGCAGTGGACGTTGACGGCGGGGCCGCCATCGCCGGTCCGCTCGCCCTTCTCCCGTAGTTTGATCATGCCCGTGGACGTCTGACCGTCCGTGTGCGTGTAGAAGTTGTAGCGGCCCTCCGTCTCGTTGATGGTGACGTTCAAGTCGGGCAAGTAGAACTCGATGGTGGGCTCGGGGTTCCCCGAAGCCACGCAGACGCACTGGACGCCCTCCCGCACCACCGTGCATTTGGACTCGGCCAGAAGAATGGGAGCATCTAGCGGAAAACGACACATTGTCGGTAAAAATGCTCGGGGCGTCAAACAGAACATCCGACTGGGATTTGTCGTCCCACTCACACTCCACGGTGATGTTCAGGGAGCTGCTGGCACGGCCGTGCTCGTTCTCAGCCAGGCAGCGGTATTGGCCGTCACCCTGCGGCGTGATGCCCTCAAGCTCCAGCACGGACAACTCGTCGGCGGTGATGGTGCCCACCAGCTCGCCGTCCTTTAGCCAGGTGAGGGTGGGAGGCGGGCTGCCCTGAGTGCTGCAGTGCAGCGTCAGCGATGCGCCCTCCAGCACGGTCAAGGAGTCGTTGACGATTGGTTCGCGGGGAGGGTCTGAAACGTTAAATCATGATTGTAAAGTGTCAGAAAGTGAAAAAAACAAAAGAAGAAATGAAGATAAAAATTGTTCATCCCGAGAAACTTCACGGGAGGGTTGAACAAAACTCACACTTGACGGCCAAGTAGAGTGACGTATTCATGGCGCCGTAGCCGTTGTCGCCGACGCAGGTGTAGACGCCTTCCTCCGCCGGTGTCACGTCATCCACGGTGAGCGATAGGTTGGATGCCGTGTCCCACAGCAGTTCCTGGTCTCCAAACTTCCAGGAAATCCTGGGAGGGGGGTTACTGTCCACCTCGCAGTGCAGCGTCACCGAACTGCCTTCCATCACCTCCGAGGAGACGTTCACCCACACAGATCGGGGAGCGTCTGGTTGGATACAAAAAGAGGATTTTGCTTTTACTAAATATTAATATTACGAGTACATATTCGCAACATTTTTTAAAAGTATTTTGAAATATATTTGAACTTTTTTTTTTTTTTTTTTCCCCAAGCAGGGGAAGTGGGATGTTGTTTTTGGGTGGTGAACCAACCCCTTTTTTCAGTGGAGGTTAATCCGCATTTTTCACATAATTTTGGGGGGTTGAAAAAAAATAAATGAAATTTATAATCGTCCTCTATATGCAGATTTCCGCAATTCACGGGCCAGCCCTGTCCTTATCCCTCCCGTCATTTGAAGGGGTCCACTGTAGTGTAAGACAATGAGCCAAACCATACAGTGGTCCCTTGATTTTTGAGTGCCTCTAAAACTTTGTTTTTGTTTTTTTTCTCAACTTAAGGGAAGTGATGTGAAAGAAAAAAAAATATCACTAACCAATTCCAACTGAGACAGAATTTTGGTGCCGTGGAGCACAAAATCCGCGAAGAGGTCAGTTAATAAAGAGCATATGCTACACAAACTAAATATTAACCAAGATGAAAACCTCAAATGAAAATAAATGATGCTTCTACTGTGACTGCAAAAAATATCTTTTAACCAGCCAGTTTTTTTTTTTTGTACAAAACATTTCACTTGTTTGAAAAATTTGTTCTTAAACTTCTTTTCCTGTCCGATTGACACGATTTTTGCTACAATGAATGAAAACATGCTTCATTTTATTACATTTTTTGTATTGTAATCCCAGTTCTTGAAATATAGGGCCTCCCCCCACCCCCCCAAAAAAGTGAATATGTGAAATCGCGACTCGTGAACCATGATGGTAGTTTTAAACTTACACTTAATATCCAGAGAGACGAGTCTCTCGTAGACCAGCGTGGTGTTGGGGTAGTACACCCTGCAGCCCAGCAGTTGGCCATTGTGCACCGGCCTGGGGGTGAACACCAGAGTGCTGGACCGCACGGCGGTATTGCCCTCCTCAACGTCGTCGGAGCTGAACTCGGGGTCGGGCAGGTAATCCGTGTACATCCACTGGATCTCGGGGTTCATGTCGGGGCAGTTGTCGGGGGCGTGGCAGGTCAGCGTCAGGCTCTCGTCGCTCACGATCTCATCCGGGACGTCGATGTTGGGTTGCTCTAATGGAAGAAGCATACAGAGGTAGCTCTACTTACGAACGTCTCTTCATACGAAATTTTCAAGGTACGAAACGCCTCGACAGGAAAATATTGCCTTTTGTTACGAAAGAAATTTCAAGATACGAAAGGTAAAAATACAGTATGGGCCGCTAGTCGCAGCTCCGAGTTTCCTCAACGCAACATACTTTGAGCTGCTCTGCCATTGGCTATTATCAAGCATCATCCTGGCATCGCATTGGCTAAGAAAGACCTCTACTGTATGTGTCTGTGTGCGGAGATAGATAGATAGGAGTCCTCGTCATTTGCCCAGGAGGTGTTCTGATAGTTTTACGTAAATGCGAATCACCCAGAAAAAGTGGAAACCAGTCGGGCGATTGCTCACTATGCCGATGTTAGGCTTGGACATTTTCGAAGGATTGTTAAAAGCAGACAAAAGCAAACGTCCTTGGATCAGCTCTTGACAAAACTCCAGGCAAAACCCACTTCTGAGAGAGAACATGGACTCAAGAGAGCAAAAAACAATGAGGGCGCAGTTAAAAGTTAAATGACCATCATTTTTATTCTTCCCTCTCTTCTTTGTTTTTTTTACATTATGCACAACTCTCATTTATTGCGCAATTATCTAATTGTAACATGTATTTGTTCTATATTTTGATGCATTTTTATGCTTTAGAAAACATTTATATTTGAATTTTGGGGGGGACTTGGAACGGATTAGGGCATTTACATGGAAAACGCGTCTCTACTTGCAAAATTTTCTTGTTAAGAAATTTCTTCCAGAACCAATTAACTTCCTAAGTAGAGGTACCAATGCATTACTCTGTGACTTTGATGGTGCAAAAATACCTCATGTGGTTTAATGTCTTGGCACACACAAGTGTGTGTATGTTTAAGCCTTTCAGGGACAGCGGTTACGACAGTGGACAGATTCTGTTATCAGTATCTATCCATATAGTGCGTCTCACCCAGAACTTTGAGATCAGCAAAGTCCGGAAAGGTGTACACGTTGGCCCCGCCAAGATCAGCGCGAAAGTAGTATCTCCCCGAGTGCTCGGGTCCAACACTGTTGATGAGCAGCGTGCAATTCCTCTGCTGCAGGTCACCCAGCATCTTGGTGCGACCCTGGTAACTCTCGTGCACTACGTCCGTGCGGGTCTTGAACACCACAGGCGGGAAGAGCTGCGGGTAGGGCTGGCCGTAGTACCAGATGCCGTGGACGCCGCGGTACGGCCTGATCCCCGACGGGTACATGAAGGTGCACGGGATGACCACGCAGGTGTTGGTCATGGCCGAGATGTCCCGCGGCACCCAAACGTTCCACTGGGAGCTGACATCTTTTGAACGGGACATAAATCAGCAGAAGTCAACCTCACACAGACGCAGCTACGTGGGTCTTTTTCTTGGAGATTGAATGTGCTGCGATCCATAATTTTTTTTTTTGTTTTTGATTTTGTTTTGTTTTATTTGACACCCTGGTAGTGTTTTTGAAGCTAGATAACACTTTGTCAACAGCACAAAACGTGCAAACATAATTTTCTTTAGCTGACACCAACTCAAAAAATGACTACCGTATTGGCCCAAATATAAGACGGCCCTGATTATAAGACGACCCCCTCTTTTTCAAGACTCAAGTTTGAAAAAAAGACTTTTTGAACACCAAATTAATTTTTATACAGAAAATAGTTACAGTAAATCTGAAACAAATGATTATAACAATATATTTATTTGTTATTTGTTATTTTGCCTCATTCAAATCGAAAGTGCAATCACATTCGTAAATGAATGGCTTCTGGTTTTTGAAATGTAAATGACATCCTAACTTCTCATCTGCCGGTTAACCTGGCCGATCTTTGACGCACTTTTCTCCAGATTGTCACTACATTTCTCCATTTTCTGTTATGTCTTCTATTATTTTCTTCTCTTTTCCTTCTTACCGCTATTTTTTATCTTTCTTCTTCGTGCTACCGCTATTTTTATTTTTATTCTTTGTGGCAGGGGTTCACTTTGGCCTGGGGAGTCAAGTTCAGCATTCGCTTCATTGATATCTGGTGCCATCTAGCGCCGTGAATGGGAAAAATGTCTAGACCCCGAATATAAGACGACCCCCACTTTTTCAGTCTTATTTCAATGCAAAAAACACCGTCTTATATTCGGGCCAATATGGTATTTTGTTCTTTACTCTGGAATGGGGCCTCCTGCTGTTTATTAATTGTAAATTACTGGTTTTGTTCCAACTACACAGTTGAGGGGAAACCATGATTGGAAAAAAAAAAGTGTGATTCCTATTCCAGTGTTGTCAAAGCTCTGGTTAAAAACACAAAGCAACTGTATGCTTGATAGTTATGACGTTCCAAGTATTTCTTACCATTGATGATTAGCAGTAGCGGTAAAAGCAGCGTCAAACACCACATGGCGTCCACTCCACACCTCTGGAACACACAAACACCCCGTTAGTTCCAACACATGCATCATCGCCATCGGAGAAAATACATTGCAAATGTCAGTGGCGTGAATCATTTCCGCCATCTCGCGCTCATTTTTTTTTCCCAAAAAGCTTTGGGATTCAATTGAATGACATCTCGCTAGCACATCGAATACCTCGGAACTGTGATGATTCAAAGCAAACAGATGTTTGGTGGCGGAAAGTGCTCCAATGATGGGTGTTTGCTCACACCCAGACGGCTTGACAACCTTCTTCTCTACAAAAAAAGTAAAATAGAGATAATAATTAGACAGGCTGACAAAGCACAGAAAACAACACGTAAGTAGAAAATTTTGTAAGTAGAGACGCGTTTTCCATGTAACTGCCCTAATCAGTTCCAATTCAGACATAAATGTTTTCAGAAGTATAAAAATGCATCAAAAAACATGTTACAATTAGATTATTGCACCATAAATTAGAGTTGTGCATAATGTAAAAAAAAACAAAGAATAGAGTAAAGAATAAAAATGATGGTCATTTAACTTTTAACTGCGTCCTCGTTTTTTGCACTCTTAAGTTCATGTTGTCTCTCAGAAGTGTTTTTTGCCTGGCGTTGTGTAAAGAACTGATCCAGGGACGTTTGCTTTTGTCTGCTTTTAACAATCCTTTGAAAATGTCAAAAGGAAACATCAGCATATTGAGCGATCACCCAGCTGGTGAACACTTTTTCTGGGTGATTCACATTTCCATAAAACTATCGGAAGGCCTCGTGGCCCGAGGGGTGAATGACAAGGACACTGCATAGACACACATCTATCTATTCATCCTTTTACACGCATAGACACATTCGGTAGAGGTCCCTCTTAGCCAATGGCATGCCAGGATGATGCAAAGCAAAAAAGCAAAAAAAAAAAAAAAAAAAAAAAAAAAAAAAAAAAAAAAAACCCAAAACAAATCAAAACAAAAATCCCAAATTTAACAATGATAGGATACCTGGACCCAGTGGAGCTGATTTGTCCAAATTTCCAGCTCAGAGACCCCGAATGGCCCTAAAATGGTCGAGTTCCACACTATGAGAGCACTACCAGGCGCTATTTTTCTTTTCTTTCCCAGAATCCTTGAAATGATCTTCAAACTTTGACACCATGCTCTGCCAACATCGCACGGGCAAAAATGAGCTTAACGGTTTCGCATCAACCATCTGTCTAACTGCTGCCCACCAAATTCTGCGGCAATCGCTAAAACCCGGGTGCCGTCGTCGGAGCGCCGCTGATGGCGCTTCGCAAATAGCATGACCTCATATTTAGTCGCGATAGTGAGTTAGTTTGTCACGCCAAGCGGAGGGGAAAAAAAAAAAAAATCCTCGCCTCAGTGGAGTCACTCATCATCGTGGCCTAAGCTCGTCCAATGAAAGCCTCGCACTGTTGATGCATCACATCGGCTTTGTTTGGATTACTGATGCCGTCTGTGCTTCACGGACAGTGAACTGGTGACGCACAAACAAACGATACTACATTTCTATGGAAAATATATTGTCCTGTATTGTTAAAAAAAAAAAAAAAATTGCGCCGGCGAGGAAAAGGAGGATTTATGCGTCACTCAGTGGCAGCAGCAGGCGTGTACAGATGGCAGGCCTGCGAGTGGATTTTGCAATGTTGAGCTCTGTGTTGAACGCAGCTCAACATGTTGAGCTGTTGCTAAAAACAAAGTGGCTGCCCGACTTTGTGATCGGACTTGATTTCACATGCGTACTTTAGGTCGGGAGTCATAAACGAGGGAATGATTCCAAATGGCGTGTTCCATCCTGCATAACCACCAGGGAGTTTAATTGACTTTTTGGGAATCAATTGCTCTCCTACTTGCCAACTTTAGACAGGGCTTTGGCTGTCTCTCGTGGCATCTAACGCTCACCCACTGACTCCAAACGCTATCATTGACGCTGTTGCGCTACGACAACATCACAGAATACATAAAATGACGCAGACATTTAGGGCTAAAAAAATAAATAAGGAATAGCCAGTGGAGAGACCTTTACTACTGTTATGTTTTAGATCAAGTTTATGCTAATTTCCATTAGCCTGATTTCGGCATTTTGCATTACTGTACATGTTAGCATTGAGCCAGCTTTTCTGGAATGAAATTATATGGTTTGGTTGAACATTTCAGCATTTAAATATATAACCTTTGATTGTATTTTGTTTTATTTATCATTTTCCAGGTAAAATTAAAACTGGGAGTGACAAATAAGGAGCTTGAACCAAGCACGCATGGCCTCTTGGAGAACTTTGCGAGCGAGTGAGAACGGCCGCAAAAGAATACTTCAGTGTGTTGAATTACGTTTCATTGTGTTGAAAGCATGTGTAAGGGTTCAAGTTGTTTTAATTTGTTCTTTTAATGTTGCCATTTTTTTTCTGTTACCTTTATTCCATTGCCACTGGGTCTGGAATGTATCCCCACGATGAATGTGAGTTTACTGTTAAGTGTGCTACTGCGAAATCACCCCCCCCCCACCCCCACCCCCTTGTC